AGGCTGGATCTCTTAAGATCTCACTGTTGGGTTTGTAAGGCCATGTTACTCCTAAATGTCTGTCTTGTTCAAAGAGAAGATATAAAACAAAGTTCTGAGCTAATCGACTTTAGTGTTCTCCTTTTTTAAAAATAAGAATCGATAAAGAATCGAATCGTTAAACAGAATCGAAAATGGAATCGGAATCGTTAAAATCTTATCAATACCCATCCCTAATTAGAATGTATGTTGCTAACTACAAACGGTTCATTGGAGTGAACGGAGCGAGTCAGTATTGAGGACCTCTGCAGCGAAGCGGCGCGTTCACAGTTTCGGCACTTCTCGGGTGTTTGCGTCACCGACTCGGGCCACAGCGCCTCCATTTTGATTTCACTTGCATGGTAGCTTGTGTGCAGTGTCGGAATAAACGGGAGAAAAACAGGAGCAAACACGGAGGCGCCAAGATTATTACAGAAATGGACGGGTAATATTAAATCAGTGAAGCTAACTACACGGCATTTCACACATATTACGGCAGCAGAGCTGTAACTATGTGATAACGTCATTTTATGAGAGAGCTACAGGGGGAAATGGGAATTTTGTGTTAGCGGGTTTCCATAGCGCCGCATTTTTCTTTGCTATTTAGGAACGGCTTAATGTTAGCACGCTTTTCTAACTTAGCACCGAGTCGCTGTTTTTCTTATGAACTGTTCTAGTTGTTATTTAAAAGCCTCTCATATAAAGCGACGCTTTCAGGGAAAAATGCTTCTTTTTTTCCTAAGTTGTACTTGATAGTAGCTTGCTACCGGCTCGGCTAATAAAGTTTAGCAAACCGTTATGCTAACTACATGCTACACTACCACTGCTCCTTTGTGTAGCACCTGACTGCGTTTAAATAACCAGTGTATGTAAAAGGTAAAGAGAGTGAAACGTGCCCTTACTTTAAATCAGTATTCCTAACTTCCGATTAAAAACATCCTATTTTGTGGAGTTTTACGGTTAAAGCATAGAAACAGTTAAGCTATGCCTCCTGTTGATATCAAACTTAAACTTGACGTATCACGTTGAGTTGAGTTACTAGTATTACAAGTGTACTACAGTGTGTCATTTATAGTATCTGTTCATTGGGGTCGAAGCGAGAATAACGTGAACGTTAATTAAAGATGTTATGAATCATAAGTGAGCTCATGGGGAGGCGGGTGGATGGAAAGGCAGTAGGTCATGTAGGCGCAGAATACACGTTTGGCAAAGCTATTTACTTATCAGCACAGAAAAGGAAATAGACTGCATGTATAAGCGGCTGTAATAACATTCATAAAGGGTCCATGTATTCAGTCAGTGCACAGTGTGGAGTTAAGAAGCAGCTTTGGTTCTATGTGTTATGGACTGGAGTGTCATGAGAATACGCTGACATCTACTCATATCTAATGCTGTTTTGTATGTTTCTGTTTTATGTTGTTCTGCTGTTTTAAATCCCTTAATTGTGAAAACAAAATTATTTCTTTCAGCATCAGTGATGTTGCAGTTGGTGTGAAGGTGAGTTTCTTTACATGTGTGCATACTTAAACATGCAGAACACTTTTCCCTTCCCGCTGTCACCAAAGCGCTTGCTCATAGAGGGTCATATGATTGTTGGGTTTCTCTCTGTGTGTATTACTGTAGGGTCTATCTTACAATATAAAGCACTTTGAGGCGACTGCTGTTGTGATTTGGTGCTGTATAGGGCTGGGCGATATGGCCTAAAATCAATATCACGATAAATTGAGCAGTTAACCTCGATAACGATAAATGGACGATAACCACCCCAAGTGCCAAAAAAACAAAC